ACAGTACCATGCTGGCTTTTATGGGAAGATACATTGGTTTAAGGATAGGGGATAGATGTTAGTGCCCTGTTTTTAGTAATCTCTGTGAAATTACTGGTCACTTGGATCAACATGGCAGCCCATTTTATTAAGTAGTGGTCAGATTCTGAGTGTATTTTGAAGATAGAGGACACAGTACTTTCAGCATCAGATACAAGTGTGAAGAAAAAGGAGTCATAAATGACTGTGGTGTTTGGACTGAACAGCTGGAAAAACACTTGCAGCCATTGAGATGGGGAAATTAGGCTGTTGGTTTGGAAGAAACGACCAGGAGCTCAGTTTGGGGCAATGAGAAATATGAGGTATCTTTTTTTTCCCCCAATTCTAGTAGAGACCTGTTGAGTAGGCACTTTGAGAGAGGAGAGAGGAGTTAAGGAGAGATGCCTGAGCCGACTATTAATCCTGCTCCACTGGTTTACAGAGGGGTGTTTACATCTTGAACACTGGGGAAGTTAAATAAGGGAGTAAGTGTCAACAGAGAAGAGAAAAGATCAGGAACTGAGTTCTCTGTGAATTCCGTACCAAGAGATCAACACGTAGAAGACGAGATAGACAAAAATCTGGGCAGGACCAGCCAATGAGGTTGGAGGAAATCCAGCTAGAACGTTGCAGTAGGATTTCAATGAAAAAGGTATCTCGAGGTGAGGGCATACTCAGTAGAGCAAGTAGAACAGTCTTAACAAAATTACTCAGGTCAAGCCACTCCTCTGTTCGAAATGACATGAACTCCCTCTGTGTTCAAGATAGACACCAAAATGCACACAAGGACTGAGCGGCCCCCAGGTCCGCAACCCTTTCCCACCGTCCCTCTCCAACCTCACAGCTCCTCACCCCCTTGCTCCGGTTTGTCTATGTCCATCCTTCAGAGAAGCGTATTGATAGCTTCTATTGTGGTGTTACTCTGTCAGTTTCTGCTTACAGTTCTAGCACATTCATTTCCTACTGTCAGGCTTATTTCAGTTGAAATGAGTACATCTTCTTGTGAATTCAATCAGAGCTGCATTATTAAGTGGTCACTCCCTCTACTCTTAAAAATATTTTCTGTTTGGAATTCTATTTTGTCTGATATCCGTGTGTTTATTCCATTTTTCTTTTAGTTCCTATTTGCCTATTGTTTTCCATTCTTTTCATATCAACCTCACCATGGTTTTAATGTGTAAGCGTCTCCTTTATTAAAACAACAACAAATAAGGATCTCTATTTTATATATTGGTGCCACGTGGCACATCTCTGTCTGTAGTGGATGAATTTCTGCTCTATTCACATTTATTTAGAATGATTGATAAGCTTGAGTTGTTTCTGCTACCTGACTTTTTCCTATGTGTCCCCATTTCCCCTCTACTTCTTTTATTTACGTACTTCACTTTTTATAATTTGATTGAAAATATTTGTTCATTTGCTTGCTCATTTTCCAGAGTCTTTATTTTTCCCTCGACAAATTTACAAGTCATAAACTCTAGTTGGATGTCCTGGAAATGTTGCTCTAGGGCACTTGACAAAATTGAATCCTGGTAATGTAGTGATTGCCGGTTGGATTGCTAACCACACGGTAGGTGGTTCGAAAATCAGCTGGTCCCTGAGAGAAAGATGAGGCTTTCTGTTCTCAAAAAAGTAGCAGTTTCAGAAACCCACAGGAGCAGTTCTACTCTGTCCTTCAGGGATGCTATCAGATGAACCGACTTGATGGCCGTGAGCGGGTTGGCTTCATTGATACAAAGGGTTGGAAGCACTCTAACTATATCATAGATCCTGTTGTGGTCAAGTATTTAATGACTGACTTTCATGAAACCATACATGTGTGGTTTCTGTTCATTCTTACCGATAGAGGCTTGTGTGCTGTCTGGAAATCTTTGTTTTTATTCTGTTATGTGTATTTGCTACTAACGGAGGCCACAGTAGCCTTCTTAAAAGGTTCTGGCGAAATGGAGGAGGCGTCGTTTTGAGGTTCTCTCCTTGTTCATGTCCTGATACTCAGTCACTCCCAGCAGTGGTACAGGTGTATGCTCAGAAAAGTCTGCCTGTTCTCCTACTCTCCTGTTCACTGGTCTGTTTGGGTCACGCTTTACTGAGAGTAGGAGATCTGGAAGACTTCATGTATTTCCTATGATCCCAGGAGTGAAGTAAAATATGTTTTGTCCAGCACCTAGCAAGGGGGCGGCCTTTCAGCGTACCCAGTGACATACTGGAAGTGGTAGAATTGCTTTTATTAGATGCTTGGATATGCTTTGCTTTTATATCTTTAGCTCTCCCCACTCCTCCCCATGAATTAGATCCTAAAAACTGTACAATAGGAAAAACTTTTGACAAGAGAATCTGAACATTTGGGTATTCCAATAGACGCAGACACCTAGCCATACTTTAACACAGAGTCACCTCATTAAAGTGTTAAAGACCAAAAATGTCACTTTGGGGACTGGGTGTACCTGACCCAAGCCATGGTATTTCCACTCACCTCATAGGCGTGTGAAAGCTGCACAGGGAATAAGGAACTCTCAGATGGGTTAGCACATCTAGTGTTGATGAAGAGTGTTGAAAGTAACATGTACTGCGAGAAGAACAAACCTATCCGTCTCGAAAGAAGCACAGCCAAAATGTCTCTGAGAAGCAAGGCTGGCGTGATTTTGCCTTACATAGACATGTTAGCAGGAGAGCGAGTTCCCTGGGAAAGGACATCATGGTTGGTACAGTGGAGTGTCAGCAAAAAAGAAGAAGACCTTAAAAGAGATGTATTGATACCCTGATTGCAACAATGGGCTCCAACATAACAACAGTTGTGAGAAGGGCACACGGCCAGGCATTCTTCTTGTTGTACACAGGGTGCCTAGGATTGAACTTGACTGGAGGGTGCCCAACACTACAGTCCATAAAGGACCCTGGGTGGCACAATGGGTTAGAAGTAGGACTACTGCTCATAAGGTCAGCAGTTCCAACTGACCACTGGCTCCAAGGGGACTCTCTGCTCCTGTTAAGATTTGTAGTTTGGGACACCCCACGCAGGGCCTGTATAAATTAGAATCAACTGCACAGTAGGGGGTTGTGGAGATAGAGTCTTTTAAGATTTCCCGAGTGTTGCAAAGCATGAACATGCTTCCCTCAAGATTGGAAGTTGGAAAGTAAACCAGAGTTGATCATAACCGTGGACAAACAGATGGATTCTGGGATCTCACTTAATTCTAGTTCCAATCCAAATGAGGTTGCTATGAGTCAGCATCAAATTGATGGCAAGTGGATTTTATACAATCTATAAAACATCAAACCAACCTCACTGCCATTGAGCCAATGCAGCCTCATGGCTATCCTGCAAGACAGGGTAGAATTGCCCTGCCCATTTCTGAAACTGTGATTCTTTTTGGGAGACAAAAGCCCAATCTTTCTTTTGAGGAGATGGCTGGTGATTTCGAACTGCCGGCTTTGTAGTTAGCAGCTCAATGCTTCTGCATCACACCACATCACATTGGAGCATTCCATTGTGATAACTTGGGGGCATTCCGTGTACTTCTTTGATATATTTTAACCATTGGGCTACTGTGTAAAGTGAATGCAACATAGGAAGCTATCTTTCCTCCTTTGGTTTCACAAGGGGAAGGAAAATCAAACTCTACACAGTGTCTCCCAAGGTTGATATCCATGAAGCTGAGGTCAGACGTGTCCCAACCCCCAACCTTCCAACCAATTCTGATATCAATTGTCCCTTTCACAGCACTCTCGACTTTTCCGCTGGACTTGGTAATTCATTGCAGTGCCCACACAAAACTCACAGACAATATTCCTAATTATGGGGTTTATTAAGGAGGTTGACAAGTTATAAAAGTCTAGGAAACAATGATTCCCAGCCAGGTCTTTGGTCTCCTGGCTACATAGCGGCTTGTTAGCTTTTGTCCTGCATGTTCAAAATCGCCAAGCTCTTTTAGAGCTGCCAATAAATGCCCAAAGGGCATGCCACTCCACCACAAGCCCAAAGGTGCTTCTGCAAACCTAATTCCCCCAGTGAATTATCTGGAGGCACTTCCACAAGTTAGTATCCTGTCTGAAGGCACTCAACTTCACTTGCTCCATGGGCTGGGAGGTCTACCACTCTCGTGCTCTGGCTCCTGCTGGTGGTGCTACAGCTGTTGCTGCTGCTTCGCTGCAACTCCTCTGGTGTCACAGCTGACTCCTGGATCAAGGAGGATTAATATGTAGGTTTCTCAGGGATCAAAGGATGCAGTCCACTCCTGGCTCTTTTCTCTTGCTGGTAATGACAAGCTCTACCACTTCCTGCTATGAGTTGGCTCATTTTACACCAAGCAGGATGAAAATCATAATGCACCCTGTTGACTTCTCACAACTGAGTTGTCCCAGTGTCTCCCCCCACCTTCTCTTGCCCAGATCCATCAGCAAAAGGCCTTTTGGTAGGAGTAGCAAAAACTATGGCTAGAAGAGAAACATTAATAGCTCAATGCACTGCAGCTATTTTCAGAAAATACTGTGATGTAATTGACTCACTGTTAGATGGCAAATAAATATCACTTATTTAAAATAAAGCAACAGAGGAGAGTGGAATATCTTTTTACCATTAAAAGGATGCATTAGGGATGCTTATTTTAAGCTTTTAAGAAGCAAATTATCCAAAGCAAAAAAGGAGACCATGCCGACAAATCCCCCCGTATAGCTGCAGTTCCATTTTGTTTTGCACCATGTCCGAATGGATTGCGGTGCCAGCCTCGTGTGTTTCAAAGATGCCACCGTCACCAGGTTCGGCTGGGGCACCGTGCCTTCCTTGTAAGCAGCGGGCTCCCGGAACAGGTAATAAAGCCAGGAGAGGCACCAGGCAGCATGGTGAAATCATGAAAGCATGGATGAGGCAGCATGGTGAAATCATTGAACACATTGATTCATCCGTGTAGCCTGAAAATTAAGCATTTTTGCCTTCAGTGAACATGTTTCCTCATTTTCAATTAAAAAAAAAAAATCTACCCTAGGATCTGCTTCAAAACACAGATGCCCACAAAAGAGCATTCCATGAAATCTACCGGACCAGGTCGGTTAACGGGATCCCTGTGCCCCCTGACCAGTTAGAGGACATGGCTGAGAGGTAAGCAAATGCCTGGCTTTAGGAAATCTCTTGCTCAAAAGCAGCCCCAGGGGAGGTTTTCCATTCCTTTCCTTTTTAAAATGGATTTCCTTTCTTCAACAGAGATGTTTCCATTTGATCAGGAAACCTCAGGATCCCATAAGACAGGCTGAGAATGCCAAGGGTCTGACCCCTGGCTAACGGAAAAGAGGAAACCTGAATTTACTGGTGCAGCAGCCTGGAATTCAGGGAGAACGCGTCTTCCTGGGCTGTATTGTTATTCAGGGCTGTCAGGAACATTATGTAATGTTGCAAAGGCAGCTTAGAAAAGAACCGGCAGAGCGATGTGTTGGCAGGGGAGAGCAGTAAATCCGACTCAATCATTCCTGGTTTGCCTTTCCACACGGATCTAGAAAAGGGATCCGAGTGGAGCGGTCCACCGGCGTGGAGGGCTGTCCTGGCAGCCTGGCCCTGGGAGCTTGCGTGTAACAGGTTAAAAGCAGCTGCGTGCTGTTACTACTAGTTACATCCTGTGAAGCCTCGGTGTTCTCTCTCTAGGTTTCATTTTGTGTCCTCCACATCCGAGCTGCACTTGATGAGAATGGAATTTCTCGAATTAAAGTACCGTCTGCTCTCCCTGCTGGTTCTGGCCGAGTCCAAGCTCAAGTCGTGGATCATCAAGTACGGGAGAAGGGAGTCGGTGGAGCTGCTGCTGCAGAACTACATTGTGAGTCTCCTGGGTGCTGGGACAGAGGGACACAGGAAGCAGGGATGTGGCATCTTACACCGACCCCTTCCTTTGAAGCCGTTCTGTTTTCCTCGTGAATTTCTGTGTGAAAGTACCCGTGTTTTAGTTGGACGGGAGAGGTGCTTAAGAGCCTTGTGCAGGCAGCTGCAGTTAAAACTCTATTTTCAGAAAAGGGTTGGTGCGTTGGTCTTGTGGAGCAGGTAGGACTGACTGGCTTTTATAGCTTAAAAAAAACGTTGTGTGCATGGCATGCCCACAGCATCTGTTACGAACTCCTCATTGAAACCTGATTAAGACTTGAAGTAGCTCTACCTGTCTCCCTGAGTTCAAATCGATTCCCATTCGCTCACAGGGAAACTGTCTTTTTCTATTTTTCGATTAGGTCTGTTTCTATGTCTCATTCTCTGAGCTGTGTGTGTGTGTGTGTGTGTGTGTGTGTGTGTGTAACACTTGATAAATGAAGCTTTATACTGATGTGTAAATGTGTGTGCGTGTAACACTTGATCGATGAAGCTATATTGATGTGCAAATGTGTGTGTGTGTGTAACACTTGATTGGTGAAGCTCTATACTGATGTGTAAATGTGTGATCTCACTTTTGGGCTCTCTGTCCAGATAATCATCTAGAACAGTGGTTCTCAACCGTCCTAAGGCCCCAGCCCTTTAATACAGTTCTTCATGTTGTGGTGACCCTCCCCAATCCATAAATTTATTTTTGTTGCTACTTCAGCACTGTAATTTTGCTACTGTTATGAATTGGGCGTTCGGCCCCCAAAGGGGTTGTCACCCACAGGTTGAGCACCGCTGATCTAGAACCAGATAGAATTATATGAGGGGGCTTCAAAAAGTTTTGGCGAAATCCCAGTATCTTTTGATCCTATTTCTCCACAAACTTTTTGAAGTCTCCTTGTATGGAGTCCGTGTAGAATAAGGTCTTGGCCTACCCATGCATGTGCAAAAGAGATGTTTCTGTCATCGTTTAGCGCCCATTGACATGAGTGTGTTAATTACAGGGGATTTATTTCTCTTAGTAAATTAAGCCTGCCCCCTTTTACAAGCTTATTGGCAATACATGCTTCCTCACACCTTCATCTTTGATAGGACTCTCCTCTTCGTTTTCATCACAAATTCAAAATGGCAATTTAATGAACTTTTACCAGGTACATCCCTTTCTAACCTGGACACAGTGACCCTGACACTCCGGGGGCAACTGATAGACCTACTGAAACAATGGCTTTATGGGAACCCCCGGGATTTTATTTTGCTACATTTTTATTCCATTTCCTAAGTGATGCCTGAAACAGCATTAATTTCCAAATTAAATGTAACAGCTTTTCAATCAAGTCTTTCTCAAGACTTCTAAAACGGTCTTGGAAGCATTTGTCAAAAATATGCAATCTGTTGTGATGTGCTGCCTTTCTTCGCTTTTTTGGTTTTTCAGAAAATAAAGTGAAAATCCCAGATTTTTAGCCCTCTGCTATGACGCCATTCCTTTCAATATTAAATCCCCCTGTAAGTGCAGATTTGCATTTATATTTCCAGTCAAAAAATACACCCTGAACGCAGGAGCTATTTATGCAGTTTCCGCTTTGTTCTTGTTATTTATGGACCGCCAATCAGATTCAAATGCTTAATGGGACCCTTCCACCAGGTGGATACCCCAGTACAATGATGTTAGCAATCCTCTTTGAACTTCTCAAAATAAAGGTTATATTAATAGAGAGTTGTTATTAACGATGAAAAAATTCTGTACTTTCTGCCTACTCCATAAAGTTCATTAAGCTGCTAATTTTAAACTTTGCTTTGTAGCTCTCAACGTGACTTGGAAATTGCTGTAATTATGCCACAAACATAACAGGCTTCAACGATTATGCCTTCATATTCTCATCTCCTATAGAAGGTTGCCCATTTACACTGATTGTGAAGATTAATCATGATGCAGTCTTGCTCATGCTTCCTCTCCCCCTTGAGTTGAGAAAGTTAGCAATGCTCCGTTCTGGGAATGACTGTGAAGCTTTGAGTATTGTACGTTTCTCTGACACCTGGGCATATGCTGTGACATACACTAAGTGGACTTCTGAGATCTCTCAGCATCAAGTGAACAGGGCACAGTTACTGTGACATGGAACCTGTACAACATTCTGAATTGATGGCCCTTGGCTTAAATACTGGGCTTCCAGAGAACTGCCTGGGGGAAGCCCTGTTTCAGCTGTCAAAGATAGACTCATTGATCTTGTAGTTTAGTCCTCTAAAGAAGGTAGCTCACATATTAGTTTCATCTCTGCTTGAGGACAGCTTACACTTAGACATTGTGACTTTGGAGTTGCCATTATTTATGTATGTGAGCGTGTAGCACAGGTGAGTGGGTTTGGAGCAGGAGGGGGAGGGATTGAAATGCATCCCTCCTCCCCCACGAGACTCAAACTCAATACCCATTCTACTTTGGGGATGATGTATTTTCCAGAAGTCTCAATCGTTTTGCATATTTTAACAGCTATAGAATAAAACACACTCTTCTAAGGAGCAGAGACTGACACAGTTCTTTCTGTTCCACTTAGAGCCTCTCTCCTCCTCAGGGTTTGTGGGAAAGTCATTTGCTTTAGAACAGAATGGTTCAGAGTGTGAAGACTTTCTGAGAATATAATAAGATTGGTTTCTTTCATGCAGCCCCTTCCTGGGTTTCTAAAAACACTTGTTGTCATGAGCCATAGGCTCTTGCCAAGAGAAGAACCAGAGGATTCTGTGAATGTAAAGGTTTCATAATTATCTTCCTTCGTCTGAATTCTCAACTGTTTTATTCTCCTACAGGAAAAAAAAAAGATTAAAATTCCTCAGGACTTGAGAATTCTTGCAAACATGCCCAATGTTTGTTGCAGTTTGTTTAGGCAATGAGCTCTTGATAAGAGATGACATATTGTAATGTACATCCAAAGATGACTGGTTTGCTTTTGCTGTTGGAATTGTTCATATGACCATATTAGGGAACACTTACTTCATTTGTGCTTCGGAAAAAATAGGGTAGCATTTTATCCTTTCTTTCACACAAAAGAAAGAGAAGAGCTCTTGGGATTGTTCATTATGTGAATGAAACATAAGAAACACAAACATTTGTTTTATTAATACTTTATTCACTTAAGTAGCCAATGCTAGTGAAACTACTTCTCTAAGTTTTTTTTCTTCTTCTTCTTTTGAAATCCTAAATTATTGGGGTTAGCGCTATTGAAGTGAAATTGATGAACCTTTAAATTTTCACCTCTATTCTTACCTTGTGAAAGTCAAAATTTAGTCACTTCCAATAGTACTTTGGATTTAGTGGACTAAAAATAGTTACCTTCTTTTTTATCAAACTATCATCAACTCTGAAAGTCCTCTAATGGGGCTTCTAGGTTGAACTTGATCTCCAATTTGTCTTTCTTTTAAAAAATTATTTTTATAAAGAAATAGACATAGACTCTCCCTGCAGTTTTAGGTCTGCTTGGGTATTTATTCGTTCATTTTTCTAAGAGGCTATGCCAAGAGAGTTCATGGTGAAAGAGATCTGGAAGTTCTCGCGCTAAAGTGATTCTGGAAACTAAGGACCAACCTAACAGAAACAATACAAAATGAAAATAAATGACCTCTCTTTCAACGTGTATGGTTTATTCCCTCAGATTGGAGGTCTCCTTGGATGGGGCAAACAGTTATGTTCTCGATTGCCTAGTAGCTGAAGGTTTGGCAGTTCCAACCTATCCAGGGGCCCCTAGGGAGGCAGGCCTGACAAGCTGCTTCCAAAAGGGCACAGCTGTGAAAGCCCTCGGGAGGAGTCCTACTCTGAACATGTAGGGCTGCCACTCAGTCAGAACCGACTCAAAAGTAGTGGACAATAATATAACCGTACAGGGAAGCTCAGAAGACTTGAAGGACTCCTTACATGGTTCATAATGTTCTTAGAACCTCCTTCCTTGCACACCTAGATGGGACGTGAACCTGGCGTAAGATTTTCTTTCTTGTTCACTTTTAATTACCGACATAATCCTTAACAAGAGGCTATTTAAGTCGTTTTGCCCATACAGGACATTTCCACTTCTGTTATCCAGAGCAATTGTTTTACCTTTAGCCTTTTGAAGCATGTGGCAGAATGATCTATGACTGTCTTAAATCTTTGTCAAATAGAGTTTCCTCTTCACATTCTTACACCAGGCTCGTAGCCTTAGCTGTTTCCTGCCGTTTTCATCTAACCGGAGGGAGAAGAGGAAAATCAAGAATCAGATGAAGGGTGAACTAGTGGGGGGTGGGGTGGGTTATTGATTGTTCATTTAAGCTGTTGACTATGGAGTTGATGATCTTAATGTAAACTCACATCTAATTTACAATAAAAAAATGTTGACAAATTAAGTGATCATACATTTTTTTTCCCATTTGGTGAATTTGAAATTAAATAATGAGCTGACCGCTATCTTCCTACTTTATTCTCAAAACAAATATGAGCAGTCTTATTCAAGTTATTGAGTGACGTATTCATCAAGAAACTTTCCATCCCAGGAAATTTGCAACATTTCCAACCCCCTCTACATCTGAAGAATAATTAATGTGTAAGCACCTGCCTTATAAGCTTGAAGTGCTAGGAGCTGTGCAATAGATGTAATGCTCTTCCATGTTTTCTTGAAACATGACCAACACATAATAGTAAAAAGCAAGGATGTTTTTGAAACTGCATCTCTACCCTAGGATGTCCTATCTTGTCCTATAGGTCACTGTGAGTCAGAATTGATTGGATGGCAGTGAGCTTGTTTGTTTGTTTTTGAGAGGAGGCTCATATTTCCTGGAGTTAACAATAACATAATTTATCTGAGTTTTGGTTTTGGTATGTATTGTCTATTTTATAGTACATATTTGCTTGCAGTGGCTATGATATATATATATATATATGAGAGCGAGAGAGACCTGTCATCTATATTTTTAAGAAGCCACTAGAAACATGACACCGAGTTGAATGTGAGATTATTTAGTTCTTTCCTCTTGCAAACATGCCCTGCTTACCTTTTATTAGAATGGAAGTGCTTGTGCCTGGCCCCATGTGTTTATAATTTGAAGCTTCTGGGAACATTCAGTCACAAGGATTCATATTCAAAGATCAAAAGAATCCCACAGCTCAAGCCCAGTAGGCCCGTTAAAATGTTCTTCCACATTTGCAGCTTTCTAAATGCCAGGCCCTGGTTCTCGGCAGAAACCCCATCTCCTCTCTCAGCCAGCCCTTGGGAAGCAGAAGAAATAGAATACTTTCTCAATCTAGTGCTGAGTTAAAATTACAATTGTGAATCAGTAGCTAAGCTTAGAATACATTCAGGTTCTGTGTAGCAATAGAATCCATTTGATATTTTTAAGATGAGTAAGCTTAGGAGTTTGGGTAAAATATCCACAAAGCTAGCTCATTGTTGTCTTCATTCTCAAGCAAAACTAAGAAATGCTGAGGACACCTGATGGTCACACATCTGCCGAGGCGTAGTGCATGCTACTTTCTAACCATGCTCCCGCTCTTTCCAGTCTTTCATAGAAAACAGCAAGTTCTTTGAGCAGTACGAAGTGACCTACCAGATCTTGAAACAGACGGCCGAGATGTACGTCAAAGCAGATGGCTCAGGTATGGCAGGACTTGATGCGGCATGGGACTCAGTCAGTGAGAGTCTGCAGGTTTCTGAGTGATCACAGCACGTTTAGTCTCTGCAGAATCCGGGTGAGGCAGCGCCGCTGGCTTGGAGAGCAC